CAGGCCGGGGCTCGCGCGTATGCGCGCCGCGGCGAGGGGCCTGGGCCGGCCGCGGGCGACCCATTTGTTGCGGCCCCGAGGCGGCTGCCCCCCCCCTCGCCCCCCCCCTTTTTACCACCATGAACATTGTCCGTGCTTGCCGCGCCCTCGGCCTCCGCGAGACCATGCGCCAGCTCTACTACGTCGGTGACGTCAAGATCGGCCAGTACATTGGCTCCGACAACCTTGGCAACAAGTACTATGAGAGCAACGACGAGACCTACAGTGCGTGGCTCCCGACCCTCGGCCGATGCAATCGGCCAGGCTTTTCCCTGTCCCCCCCCCCCTCCTCCTCGCCCTCCCGCATACACACGCGCCTCCACGCCCTGCATATTGACGGACCTGCACCTCGGCCCCCTGCTGGTTGTTTTCCCCCTGCCGCGCCACACAGACCGTCAGCGCTGGGTCATGTACGCTAAGCCCGATGACATCGACTCCTCCCAGGTCCCCGCCGAGTGGTACGTATTGCGCCTACCCCCTTGTGGCTGGCTCCGCTGCCCGTCCTGCCCAGGCCATGCGTGGCACGATCGTCGCCTGCTGACACACACACACACACACGCAGGCACATGTGGCTGCACTCCATGAACGATGTTGTCCCCACCGCGGAGTCCTACGCCCAGCGCAAGAGCTGGCAGGTGGACCACTTCGAGACTCGCACCGGCACCCCGGGCGCCTACGTGCCCTACTCCACCACCAAGCCCAAGGTGTCGGCCTGGGTGCCGGAGGCCAAGCCCCGCACTGGGCCCACCGCCTGAGTGTGCCCCCGGCGGCGCCCCCCCCCCCCCCAGACACATACACACATACATGCATACATACACCCATGTGCACACTCGGAGGGTCGGGGAAGCCGAGACGAGTGCTGTTTCTCCAGGACAGCGGGGAGACCCTCGCCTTCCTCGGGAGAACCTCCGGAGGCACTGGCCCGGGTGTCCTCCCCCCCCCCCCTGCCCTCCCTGGCCGCCTCGCCTGCAGCGCACCACGCACACGCGTTCCCCTTGTACATATAAAAACCTGCCCCATTCCTCCTCCCACGCGTGTATGTGCCGTATGCATGCCCACATACGCGCGCGCACCAGGTGGCGGCGCTACGGCCGGGGGCCTGCCTCCCGGACGAAGAGAGAGGGAGGAGGGACAGCGGGGATGCCTCGGCTGTCGGCCCTCGCCCCCCCGCTGCTGCACCATGTCTTCGAGCGTATACAAATTCAGAAAGGCAAGGCAAAACCCGCGACGGAGAGGCCACAGATGCCAACGCACCGCGTCAGCAGAACTATCTGTGCGTTCCCTCGGGGCAAGAGGAGGCCCAGCGGGGGACGGGGGGCGAGGAGGGGGGCGA